AGTAGGTGATAAACAGGATTGGCACCTACTCTAGAGAAACTAGAACAAGACAAGTGTCTCTAGAGTAGGTGATAAACAGGATTGGCACCTACTCTAGAGAAACTAGAACAAGACAAGTGTGTCTAGGTTAGGTGATAAACAGGACAAGTTTCTCTCACCTAACCTAGACACACTTGTCTTGTTCTAGCACCTACTCTCTGATATTTTGTTCCGTTTGGAAATAGTGAGTTTTGCAAAGGTCTAAATTTTTTTCATCATGTATAAATGTTGTACGATGTTTGAAAAACAAACAAATACTTTTTAAATACTTTTATGTTTATTGTCCAGTTTTTAAGAAAACAAAAATGTACTTCTAAATAATTTTATTATTATTTTTAGCATACAAAGTAATGAAATATATTAACAATTATATGGATGTATATACTGTATATATGGGATTTTATTCCTTGCAGAAGAGATGTATACTTTTCGAATATACAATATCGCGTACCTTATAGATATATTATTTAGATTTGGGTTATATTTAGTATCTTAATTATTATTATTTTTTTATTTCACTTTGTGCTCCAAACCAAGTTCTAGTAGATACTTTATTTTTCCTCTTTTCTGTTCTCACTACATATATATATGTCACTGTCGATTGGTTTGCTTGTTTGTTTGTAATTAAGCACAAAACTACACAATGGGCTATCTGTGCTCTGCCCACCACGGGTATCGAAACCTGAATTCTAGCGTTGTAAGTCCGCAGACATACCGCCGTGCCACTGGGGGGGGGGGGGGGGCTTAGGTTAACTTATTCCTTCAATAACGTTTGCTACAGGCTACGTTCACTGATAAGCCTAACTTCAAAAACAACGTTTCAACAGAAATTCCGAAACTAATGTAGGCCTAACTCACAAATAGATGTAAATGTAGAATTACCTTGCTAATCGACTGATAACAAACGCGCTGAACGACTCACTTTTTATTGAATCACTGTCTAACTTAGTAACTGACATTGAACTAAATAACTCCCTTAATTATTGAATCTGTTAATTATATAATCTTCTATCCCTTTTATTTTATTGGTTATTCCATAAACGGCTTCACTTGTTCACCAAGAAACCGAAAGTAAACTATAGTAAGTGAAGAATAAAGAATATCGGGTTTACCTTTAATGTTTTTTAAAAATAATTTCCAAACAAGTTTACATGTTTCCCAAAATACCCCTTGCTTGAACATTAAATAAACCTGAAGGGGGAAATTCAGGAAATTCTTAGAGAACTTTGTAGCTCATATCTAACCAGTTTTACTTGTCCCCCAAAGAACCATTAGCATGGAAAGAAAATTCACTTTAGATTATAATATGTAGTTCAGGAAACTTTTCCCAATACTTTCCTAACGATTTGTCTTTTTCTTAAACATCCCCTTACCTGATCAGGAATATTCTAGCCTAACGATTTAGCTTTTTCTTAAAGATCCCCTTCCCTTTAAGTATTTTTCTTTGTTTTCACTCAAAACTTCTTAGAATGGGGAGAACGAAACTGGGGGGAAAATAGCAGATTTGTCTTCATGGGGTAAATTGCGTTTCACCTCTACAAAGGGAAAAATTTGGATATAAGCAAACAAAAAAAAACGAACCAACATGAAATATATCTTCGTTTTTCAGTGTAATTGTACATGATTTTTCTAAAGCACAAGAAACCTTCTCAACTAAACCGATGTAAAATAAGATGAAAAAAAACCTGAATATTAACCTTTATAATTGTCTAATTATATTAACAATACAATAACGACCTGTATTTTCAAAATGTATCTTTATTTGCTCTATATTTCAGTTTCGTCAGGGTAACGTACAAGTTAGTTTATCCAATTAAACCTAACTTTTAACACCATCATCAGTTAATCGCATATTAATACACGTGACTAACAAGTTATGATTATATTAATAACAATACCAAGAATGTTATTGATAGTAACACATGTATTAACTGTTTTGGTTGAAACTAGTTTCAGAGCATTGAAACTTCATTGAGTGTTGAAGTATTAAGAAATTTAATTTTTTTCGAATAACTCAGATTTCAACATCTTTGTAGCTATGTGCTGGTGGATCCTCGAGGAACAAAATTCTGTCCGAAAGGTCTCTACTGTATTAACGAAATGCTCCATATGCTGGCTAACAAGGTATTGCTTTCTGGCTGGTGGTTCACCAGTTCTTATGTTCATTTATTTGTTTGTTGTTAAGCGCAAAACTACACAATCGGCTATCTGTGCTATGCCCCCACGAATATCGAAACCTAATTTTTAGCGTTACAAACTAACAGATTTACTTTTGAGCCACTAGATACAGTTTTTGTGAATGATAGTAAAGTTAGTTAAAGTAAATAATAATAATGAGAAAATAAATAAATAACACAGGCCAGCGGTGGTTTTATTGTCTTGAAATTTTTACATGTTCTACAGGAATTCCTGTACACTGAATTCGAAAATGACATCCATTTTTCTCCATCACGTACAGATTTTGCACAAAAAATCATATGTACTTTTATATGAATGAATCATTTTCATTGAAATCGGGTCACATTTTCTTATGCTTAAAATATTGACAACCACTGGCTATAGATTTTTCCATACCAATCGCGACGTGAGAGTCTTATCGATCGTTTTAGAACACACGAGAAACACACCGCTAGTATATAAACGGTTAAAATGCCGCATGACGTGTCATTTCTGGATAGTATTTATTTGTGCTTGCACTTTGACGTTGTTTTGTTTCTTTCAATATTATTTATTCGACGCTATGACAACAAGAGGTTGTATAAATGACCCAAACATATTCTGTTTTATCTGTGGTAAGAGTTTTTTTCTTCCCGATTTCTAAAAAACCCTTACCTGATAGGAAAAAAAAATGAATATTACTTTCGAAATCTGCGTAGCTGAATTATGGAACATCCGTTATTAAAACCAAAACAACTTTTGTAAAGTTTAAATTCGCAAGTCTGTGTAATTGATGTTAAAATAAAATTAAAATAAATAATTTTGTGTTACTAATTCTTACCCGAAAAATATTGCTTAATCTGGTTTACACCATAATAATACGTAGTCATGAAAATTGATGATATATATATATATATAGCACTTAGACCACCACTATGTACATCGTATCTTACTTGGCCTCTCTAAATACCTAAATCTTATTTTGTAATTAACATTAATTGCGAATTTCATTGATCTATTTAACTGAATAACAACTGGAATTTGAAGCGATCAAATTCGCGACCATGTAAGCTTACTCTTTGATTAAATTGAATATGTCAATCCTTAATAGTTGCACGCAATATTAAAAACATGGATAGGCGTCCTCCATAAAGTAAGGACAACAGATATTCAAATCGACTTACGCACAGATCTTTTCATTTTGTGTTTTGTTTTATATGCTACGTCTCAATCTCTTAAGTTTGATATCAAAAACAATCTACAAAGATGTTTTACTTTGAGCACTGCTGATAATCTCCATTTGATCAGCAAAAAGTTTAGCCAATGAAGTTTTGTAAAACTCGTTACCTTGTGAAATATTTTGTTCCCTGTAAAAGCGAAGAACAGTTTATATTTAAGACAAAACCATAATGTAAATCCGATTGAGATGGAACTTCATGGAAAAATATATCAAATGTCTATTTATTTTACGATTATGCTCTTTTTAAAACAACAAAAAGTTTCCAATTGTCGTAGGGTACACATAGTTTTCACACCAACATGAGAGTCTGTGTGGCAGAATTAAATAAATTACGTATACAATGAATATGGTGTGTTTAGAAGTTACATAACATGTCAATAGATCTCTTAAGTAATATGATAATATATATGAATTATACTGGCGTCAAAGCCTTGGCTGCTGCTTTGTGAAAAGCTTAACGTCTCCATTAAATTACATGATAGTGTTTACCTTTTAGGAACTTTTTGTTTAACGACTTAATACGATATTTTCCAGAGTGCTGAAATCGCTCTGTTTAATTACCAAGTCCGACTGGACAGAGATGGATTCGCCAACTTTCCAGGAACAATGTACATTGACCACGGATCATTACTCCTAGGAGACACGAGACCAGGCATGAGTGTACACTTTGAAAAGATCTTCCACTGGAAGGTCAGATTTTTAAAAAAATGTATAACTCCTAGCTTGTCCTAGCACCTACTTTAGAGAAACTTGTCCTGTTTATTGATATTAATAACACTGATAAAGGATATTAATAACACTGATAAATGATATTAATAACATTTTATCAGTGTTATTAATATCCTTTATCAGTGTTATTAATATCATTTA